AGAGCCGCATGTTTAGAAAGCCATGTAAAATTAATGCAAGTTTAACTTTGAAAAAACATATCTTGAGACTTTATGTCGGGCTTTTTCCCCATCCCACTGCAACTCGTGTTTTTAAAGTTCCCCTGTAGTCAAAAATTGTATCCTTTAAAACTCATCTTTGATCATCAAAATGACATATTTAAATGTTTATTGCTCATTGTGAATGTTAATGCATTAACTAAGGTTAACTAATTAGGTCTTATTGTAAAGTGATGCCTATTGGTCTTTTGCACTTTAATCTGTGTAAAACTTTTAACTTTATACATTTTTCTGTATTGCTCTATTGCATTTAAATGTTCAGTTATTTTTGTTATAAGAAAAAAGGTATTAAACCTGTTATACTGTATTATGACAGCACTTTAAAAAAAAAACTAAATTCCAACACCGTGATAATACCGTATACCGTGATAAAAGCATTAGCAATTAATCGCAACATGAAAATTTGATACCGGCATATCCCTAGTCGTAACATTTCCGTCTCACGCTTGAGGTATTCGGCCAAATTACAACGCACTGGATAGCTGGCCAATCACAGCACACCTCGCTTTTTCAGACCGATGAGCTTTGTAAAAATCGACGCGTTTCAGAAAGGCGGGGCATAGAGGAGAAACAATAATATACAGTATGTGGAAAATAATGTGTTTTTTGAACCTTAAACCGCATAAACACATTTCATTACACCAAATACACAAAATAATGTTCTTTTTAGCAGCATCATATGACCCCTTTAAATTTACTTAATTGATGATGTTGTGTCCTCAAAATGCCGTGAAGACTCAAATGCAGCCAAGTTTGTGATTCCAAATCGCGCCCGCGATCATACGCGTGTGACGTGCGGATGTCAATGCGGGAGAGGTGCGTCTGACTCCGGGCTACTTTTACACTGCTGCCGCGGGTTATTATTCAAGTTAGCGGTTCTAAATACAAATAAATAAGAACTAACAGCACATGACATTGTGAAAATAGGGGGAAATATTAACAGTTAGCGAAACATCTGCAGAAAAAATATAACTGTTTGATTGGTTATTGAATTTTGTGACGTAGCAAAAAAAAGTTTCAAACCGCATTTCTGTGACTGCCTTTGGGAAACTACAGTTTTAACGAGAAAATACTCGTTAAAGCAGATTAAAAACACCACAAACAAATAAACAACATAAAAAACGTAATTTTCATCACAGGGGGACTTTAAATGTAAAAAAGGTACTCTGTGTGATTGGCTTTCAGCCCTATGTATTAAACTATGCATACATACATGATGCTGTTTTGTTTATAGTTGTTTAAGCTACTTAATTATAATTTGTTTATAAACATTATTTTAAAAATTATTTCACAGATAGTCATGTTATCTTATGCTTTGAAGAAACATGCATTAGTAATATTTTACTTGATGCGCCCTCTTGTGGCCTCATGAGAGAATCCAAAAGCTTTTCTTCACCCTAACTGAAATTATGCATTTTAAATTCGAATATA